TAGTGTCTTTCTTTACTGAAACATTGCAATGCTGTGTAAAATTTAATCTTTCAGTATTAAATTACGTACTTCCTATCATGTGGGTCTTTTTGCAGAAGCTGGTTTGTTGTTTTTTCTTCTTTATCTCCCCTATATTTAATACTTACATCCATGTTTTTCTTTAACACGGTTTTCCAATGTTTTTATTTAATTTTTTTCTCTTTTTTTGGTATATATTTTTCCCAGTCTACAGATGTCTAATAATTTTTTTTTATGGTGTAGTATTGTGTATTTGAATGATTCTCTTTATCTCTAGTTTGCAGTAAAGGACTGTTGAATAAATCCATGTAAGTGAAATGCTTATATGCATTCCTTCATTGTTCTGGCTTGTGTGATAATATTGGTAGATCCTATGTGCAGATTAGTTTACATATATTTGAGCTTGAAACTTGTCCTTTGTTGCACTGTGTAGTTGGTGGGATTACTGCATGATCGCATGACACATTGTCGTTACATCACACCCATTGAGAGTTTTGAACTAGGAATAATTCCAGAAGACTGGTATGAAGTTGATGTGTTATCTGCAGGAAGATTGGCACTAGAAGATGTGAATTCTCATCTGGGTATGTACAGACTGGCCTGGTTACTATCCATTAAATTGTTGTTTTTACTGCAAATGTAAGTCACAGTATATATGTGTTAACATATTATACAACTGCATATACCTATTAGGTGAGTTTTCATTTTTGTCTTCATTCAAGGCCGTCTTATATTCGAAAGTAAAGACAAATTTCTAAAAATGCGATTAAAAATGTTGGCGTATACAAATGCCTAGTAATTGTGCCTTTCCCCAAAATTTATGTGCCCATACTGATTTGAAGATATTTTAAAAATAGTAGTTTTCACATTAATCTGAATATTCACTTCTGTGTAATACCATCATCAAATGCATGGAGCTTTACCTCTGAGTCTAATATACACCTTCATGGCATAGTACATAGGCACAGGGTAATTTCATGTTAGTGGTATTTTGAGTAGAAAAAATAGGTTAGCATTCCCCACCAAAGCATTGTCAAAGGCAAAACACTATAATCCAATAATTTTTGCATTCGTATGTAGCTGGAAGAGGTGTTACTATATTCTTGTTTAGAAAGTTATATATAATTCCTTATATTATCTGTTTCAGGCTTGGCATTTGATGACTGGGATCTTGACTTTTACACAGACCTTTTCAAAAACAAATTAAAACGTAATCCAACCAGTGTGGAGTGCTTTGATCTAGCTCAATCAAACAGTGAACACAGCAGGCATTGGTTTTTCAAGGTTAAGAGTTCCTGACATGACCATTTTGACTTGTTATTTAATATCTAATAGTATTAATCAGTTTTCTCATTGTACCTCAGATGCTGGTAATTTTGTTTGTACTTTGTATTTGTAGGGCCGAATGGTGATAAATGGTAAGGAACAACCAGAATCGCTGATAGACATGATAATCAATACCCAAAATTCTACCAACCCAAATAATGTAATCAAGTTCAACGATAACAGCAGGTATGGTTGATGAATTAAAATTTTAAATTATTATGTGACACAGTGTTTTGGGCATTATCTATCATAACATTTATTTTTAAAACTTCATCTCAGGAAGTATCTCTGTCATTAGGTATCCTTTTGATGTGGAACCTAATCTGAGATGTCTTATTGTAATACATCCTTATCAGAAGCATTAAGAAACTCTTGATTTACGCTTGTTTTTTTGATATGTTGGTAATATGTTCACATATAATTGATGTTGAATTGCACTGCTTGTAAGTTCAGGAAGCTTTTCTTATGGCAGTTTTCATTGATTTATATGCTCTTTCTTCTTTGCAGTGCTATGGAGGGTTTCAGGGTTAAACACCTGCGTCCTAGTAACTCAAAAGAAGCAAGCAGCTTTAAAATAGTTCATAGCAAGTCACATCTTATCTTCACTGCTGAAACACACAACTTCCCTACTGGTGTTGCCCCATTCAGGTGAGAATATTTGATATAAAAGTTAATTCCTGTACAAGCATTTGTTTAACTTTACTAACAGGTTGTGTTTATTTTTGATGTTCAAGTTTAACTCTAAAGTAGTCATACAGAGAAATGCACATTTAATTTTTAGGATTGCATATTGAACATTTCATGAAGGCAAAACACATGTGTGGGAAAGTTGACGCTGTTGTAACTGTACAACTTTAAAAATGAAAAGTAACAAAGTTTCAAAATATCTAACCCAGTATAAGACAGCATGCTGTTAATGATTAACCCTATGGTCCATCCACTGTTCTGTTAAGTGAGTTGTAGCATTGCTTCATTAGGTGTAAAGGCAACCTGGTCCTTAAACTGATAACTCACCTCTCTAGAACTGAGAAATGATGTGTGGTTATTGCCTTCTGCTCCTCCTAAAGTTTCCTTGGCATGGTGCATGAACACATACATTACCTTTACCTTTTTCAAGATTATGTTGAAACGGTGTTATGAATATTGCATTTTCGGTTTTAAACTGAATGGACCAGTAACTTGGACTTCAATATTTAAGCCTACTGCCCTTTAAAATACAGAATATTGACTCAGCTAAAGGCATCAATGGAAGCAGCAGAGACCTATGAAACACTGGTAAACTTCTACCAGACTACATGACGCTACAACCCAGAAGACTGCCATCTTCTGTTTTAATTCAGTTCGCATCTTTCCAATCCAGATTTTCCACCCAACGTTTTATTACTTCATGCATGTTACTTGTCCAGCGTCCTTCATTTAATTACCCTATCAGTCAACACCATTCAGTAACCTTAGTCATTCAGTTCTGTTTTGTCATGACTTTATTATATTTTTCCCTTATGTTCCATCCTCCCTGCATGTATGATAAATATCTGTGTGTGTGTGTGCGTGCGTGCTTTTAACTCTCTGAGTCTCCATCTAATCTCTAGTGGAGCAACAACAGGAACTGGTGGGAGGATCAGAGATGTCCACGCAGTTGGCAGGGGAGGCCACTGTATAGCAGGCACAGCTGGCTACTGTGTTGGAAATCTACTTATTCCTGGTAAGTAAATGATTTCTGAACACATGTAATAAAATATACTTTCTTATTTCCCATTTTTGACCACAAAGAAAACCCACTACAGTTGGTACATATCTGTATATCTTGCAGCTGAATTTGGTAAGTGAAATATCATTTACCAGAAAAATGACCACTCTAAATTTGTGTTGAGAGGTACTTGAGTGTTGTTGGGCTGTTGGCGATCATGACTGAACTTTTTGTTTCTTCTCATCTCTTCAGGCAGATGCTGTGCTAGTATCTGGAGGTAGACCACAAGTGTCTCCTTCCAAAATCCTTATGCATTCGTGCTTATTTTTTGCCTCTTTGATCTATGATTTGATCATCCGAAGTAGGGACAGTACTTTGTAATCAGTAAGTAACAATTTAACACTCGGCATCTAAAGAATGTTGGTATTCTGTTGTGTAGACTATGAACTACCATGGGAAGATCCATCTTTAGAGTATCCAGATAACTTTGCTTCTCCTTTGGAAATTTTAATTGAAGCAAGTAATGGAGCTTCAGATTATGGAAACAAATTTGGAGAACCTGTAATTTCTGGATTTGCTCGTTCTTTTGGTCTGATGGAACCATCTGGAGATCGCCGGGAATGGATCAAACCCATCATGTTCAGTGGTGGCGTTGGGTCTTTGGATGAAAATATGGTAAACAAGCTGAAACCAGAGAAAGGTATGTAATTGCATGTATAGTAAATAATGTGTATGCAACAGATATATTGTCTCAATCACCCACTTGGGAATTAAACATGCTGCTGTCCAGTTCAGACTTCAGTAACAAAAGTTTCTCTCGTTGTTTTTTGAGATTCTCACAGCTGCGATCATGGAGATTTGTTTTCTGGGTTGTTGCACTGTGTATTCTGGTAGAAGTTCAGAGGTGCTTGCTGCCTCAAATACATGGGTAATCAACAGAGAATCTTCAAGAATGGAATATGTGAAACATTCATACTTTATTTATTATTGTTCTATTTTATGATAAAAATGATGATGCATGAATTACATGATGAATGTTGTTTGAATGGAGGCAGGAAAGCTGCATGTTGTGCATTGCTGCTTTATATTGTTTCTGTTTTTATTTTGTGGCTAGGTATGCAAGTGGTGAAGTTGGGAGGTCCAGTGTATCGTATTGGGGTTGGTGGAGGTTCAGCAAGCTCAGTGGAGGTGAGGGATTTTTTTTTTGAATCCAAATTTGAAAATTTTGTATGATATTTTTATTAATTCTTTCTAACTCATCATTTATAATTTTAACATCATTTTTTGTTTGACTGTTTATAACCAATGCAACTGACAAATCACCTATTCATGAACCAGCAGTCTATCACACTTCAGTTGAAAAAATTAAGGTTTGATTGTCATCTCTGATGTGCAGGTGCAAGGTGATAACAAGGCAGAACTAGATTTTGGTGCAGTTCAAAGGGGTGATGCAGAGATGGAGCAGAAACTGAACCGAGTTATTAGAGCATGTTTAGAAAGAGGAAGTGATAACCCTATCTGTAGTATCCATGATCAGGGAGCTGGTGGCAATGGTAAGTGAATTTGTACCGCACATAACCCATTATGCATGCTTGATAAAGTTTGTAAAATTATTATGTGCATCACATTGCTGAAACACCTTTGGTCATGTTTGTTTGTTGATTTATAATGTTTGTAGGAAATGTATTAAAGGAGTTAGTGGAGCCATCTGGTGCTGTGATCTTCTCACACAAGTTTCAACTGGGAGACCCCACAATCAGAACTCTTGAGCTTTGGGGTGCAGAGTATCAGGAAAATGATGCTGTGTTGTGCTATCCGAAGGATGTTCCATTGTTAATGCAGATTGGCGATAGAGAGAGGTGTCCAGTCAACTTTGTTGGCACAGTTCTTGACAATGGAAGGGTATGATGACAGTATTTATGATTAAAAGCTTGTGGTTTTACGGTTATCTGAAGTACCACATTTGTTGTGGTTGAAGAATAGTTGACCAGTCAGAATTATTTTTCTTTATGTTTTTGAATGTTCCACTAGAAAAGCATATAGATGCTAAAATGTAAACATTGCTAGAAATTACAGGCTTAATCGACAGCACATTGAAACCATCAACATGTCAGACAAAATGCAAGAATCGATGTGTTTGCTGTCCTATCTCTTGTCATTGGTAGCGAAATGAGGACAATAAAGGGCAAAATGAAGTTCAAAATCAGAGCTGCTAAGACAAAATTCATGAGGCATACCACATTACATTAACACTACTGATATGTTGAAGAAACAAGTTTATGAACATAGAGGGTCAAGAACATAGGAAAATTACATGAATAATGTCTTGTATCATGTGATGAGACCTGTGATATATGCAAAGGGATCACCAATCCTGCAGTTAACGAAACTCTTCATTGTTTGTTCTATGCCGCTGACCACTCATATTTCCCGGTGTTATGAAAATAAGTTGCTTAAGTGTACTTCTTGTGTCTACTAAGGCAAAATGATTACTTTGAATGCTCTCTCTTCATGATACCCTTTCACACAGAGTCTTAAATTCTCTTGTCTTAACAGGTAATTCTTTCTGAGGAAGAAGAAATAGATGTCACTCCATATTTGAATGGCAGCTACAAGCAAGAAGATGTAAGACATCCTGTTGACCTGGAGTTAGAACTTGTTCTTGGAAAAATGCCACAGAAGGTGAGAAGAAATTTTGAATACTTCAACCATGAGTCACATATATTTTCTGAATCACTAAAATTATAACAGACATATACAGGTATAAACCTTAAGAAATATTGAAATTAATTTCTTGTTTATTCCAATTTGCTATTTAGCTTTACAATATTGACCTTTCAGGTACAGGTTTTTGAAATCTAAGTGGCTTTTCTGCCATCTAGAATTGAATTTGTCATTGACAAAGATGACATTTTTATGGGTTTGTACATATTTTAACATACTAAGTCTTGCTTATACTTTTGCCAGATCATTATTACACTGAAATTAGCATGTTATTTTTATAGTAAAATCTCCATTTGAATTGGTGATGTTGAATTGCAATACAGAACTGTAGAATAGCTTAAATGGAGGCTATTTAACACAAATTATTGGTTTTAAGTAAGTAGAATTGAACATTAAATGGGGTTTCTACTGTATGTCTGTGAAACTGATACAACTTTATTTTTGATTGAAGGGACCCTTTCTTATGTGGTCTTCAGAACTTTATTATAACATCATTCCTCAATTTTGTAGTAAATTTAAGGTAATTAAGAATAAAATGTGTATTTAATTCACATACGAGTATTCTGTTTTAGGTATTCCATCTGGACCATAAACCAGCAATAGTAAAGTCACTGAGTTTGCCTGCTGATCTGACTGTGAAGCTGGCTCTGGAGCATGTACTTCGACTGCCATCTGTAGCCAGCAAACGGTACCTGACCAATAAGGTGGATCGGTGTGTTACTGGTCTCATTGCCCAACAACAATGCATTGGTCCACTTCATACTCCACTGGCTGATGTAGCTGTCACTGCTCTGACACACTTTAGTCTTGTAAGTTGTCATATATGATTTCTTTAAGTTCTGTGGCAGAACATAGATTGGCAGAGTTTGAAACAAAGTGTTCTTAATAGTATTTCAATCTGAGAAGCTTTACAGTTTGTACTTTTAATCTGATAATGTTAGGAAATCAATAAGGTTGTATATATGTATGTATGGTCATACGTTTTTATCAGTTTTTTAACATCTTCTGATTCTAAGTCCATCTTCTGTTCTTCTGATCTTCTCTCCACCTTTGCATTCTGGATTCCTTCCATCTAACTCCATATCTTCCACTAGTCATTCTTCTGTGTGCCTCATCTTCTTCTCATCATTCCTTCTGGTGTCAGTGCAAATGTTAGCAATTTTTGCTCTTCCCTGACAGTAAAACTAGAAATTGTATCTCAACAGCCATAAAACACAAATGGCAAGATGGATAGAAACTGTTTTTGTGCTGAATATTAACACGTGTTCTGAATTTATTCTTTTAGTTTTGTCGTGTACATCATTTAATAGGTACATGTTCTTTATTTTCCTTTCTCTGCTTTGTTGATGACATTTGTGTATGCTGATATGAAATATTTGGTTCTATTTTGTACAGGAGGGAATTGCCACAGCTATAGGGGAGCAGCCAATCAAGGGTTTGGTTGATGCATCTGCAGGCGCAAGGATGGCTGTTGCAGAATCTGTAACCAATCTGGTTTTTGCCCGGATATCTGATATACAGGTAGTAATCTGCAAACAGAGATGTGGTAAATAAGAAGAACGTAACTGGAATCTTGAAAAAGTATCCTGATTGTTTGTGTCTGTTTCCCAGTACTTGCTGTTCATTTTATTGTCCACGTCAGTAATGATTTTGACATGGCTTCTGACAGATTTATGCAAAATGATGGAAAAACAGGTATTCACCGATCTGATCTATTCGCTCCACCGTTATACACACATGCTACTAGACCAAAATTCGTCTTCCCTTTCCAGTTACTTTGAGCACATAGTGTAACAGTAAAGCTCAAGGTTTTGGCAGTCACTCTGTATAGAACAGAAACAGTATGCTGATGAAGGTGAGACTTTTTGGTTGTCACTTGGTTTTATAAATTGTATTATTAGGTGACAGAATTTTTGTTCATCTTGGTCCTCACAGTCACATGGAATGTGTGGTCATTTCTTGTTAGCTCCCTAGCTGCTACCACACTGACACCTCTAGTGCTGATTTGTGTATAATGACCATGGTCTCTTACCCGTCCTCTTTTAGCTAACAGCGTATGATAATTCCAATAATTCTGTATCACCTGCCTAAAAAACATATATGAACAGGTCCCAGTCCAAGAAAAGGATGGAAGGATCCTGTTCATAATATGTTGAGATGGAATAATAAAGAAGAAGAAGATATGATAATTCATATTAACCAAGTTGCTTGTTGTAGGATGTGAAGTGTAGTGGGAACTGGATGTGGGCTGCAAAGCTTCCAGGAGAAGGTGCAGCTTTGTATGATGCGTGTACTGCTATGTGCAAAGTGATGTCAGATCTGGGTATAGCTGTTGATGGGGGAAAGGACTCACTAAGCATGGCTGCCAGGGTTGACGGTGACATTGTCAAAGCACCTGGTATGTACATCTTTCAGTGTACCATAATCATGTAAGTCTGGGATGTACTCATTGGTATTTCAACAACATACGAGGGGCAGTCAAAAAGTTCCCGGAATTGTGGTATAGCACTGTAATGGTAGGACATATGGCAATGCTTACCAAATCACCTTCAAAGTAGGACCCTTGCGCACACACACACTTGCTCCATCGATCCTGCCAACAACAACAAGGAACTTAGCAGCAGTGATAAATAGTCTATGTGGCAAGCAATAAAATAAGGGTGTACTCTTAAGGAATTAGTCACTGCAACTCACTATGTAATTTACACACTTGACAAAATTCTTGGTTGGTGTTTCAGGTGCTTTGGTGATTTCTGCATATGCCCCATGCCCCAACATTAAGCAGGTAGTTACACCTGATCTGAAAGGTCCCTCAAGAGGGCAGACAGGAATTCTTCTTCTTGTAGATCTGTCTGGAGGAAAGAATCGACTGGGGGGTACAGCTCTCGCTCAGTGCTTCAAACAACTTGGAGATGATGTACCAGATCTTGATGAGCCAACCCTCCTCAAACAAGCCTTCATTGCTACTCAGAAACTGATAAGAGGTATTTACATACAAAACTAATCTGAACACATTCTGAATGGAGAGACAATATTCAAGAAATAAAATATAAAGATGTAAAGTGTCTGAACTGCTGGTATGATATGGAAGAGATGGCCTCATGAATTTGCTGTGAGTTTTTTTTTTTCAGATTGAGTTTGAATTTAACTCTTTTTGTTTCTCTGTCAGACTCTCTCAGCCTTGTGGTCCAGGTTAATTTGTCACCCCTGTATGTTAATACTGTTTTAAATAGCTTATATGTCTCCATAAAATACCTTACTGCATGATAGAAGGCTTCTACTGCTTCTCACTTTTTTTGTTGTTTTGTGTTTCCCCAGTATCTGCAAACTTGAAGATTTCTGTCTTCTGGGTTGTTGATCTGTGTAGTCTGGTCGATGCTAACGAACGTCTCAGAGGTCATACTGCCTCCGTCATCAGGGCAATGACGGAGGCAGTATGACCTCTGAGATGTTGGTTAGCATCGACCAGACTACACAGATCAACAACCCAGAAGACAGAAATCTTCATACTCACCGCTGTGAAAACCTCAGATCTTACATCTGCAAACTTGCTTCTCACATAATTAAAGTACTTCACCCTTGCCATTGTATGGGCATTGTGACTAAATTATTGTATTACTTCATTATTCATTACTGATTTCTCTAGCGGTACGTAGGTGAAAGTTTCATACTGCAGTATGTTGTCTCTTTTTACAGCACATAAAGTTATGGCTGGTCATGATATCAGTGATGGAGGTCTTATTACTTGTCTGCTGGAAATGGCATTTGCTGGAATAAGTGGTATCAAGATCAACATTGCTCATAAGGAAGGCAAAGCTTTGGATATCCTGTTTTCTGAAGAGCTGGGTTGGGTGTTAGAAGTGGTCTCAAAGGACATTGAATTTGTAAACACAACTTTCAAGACACACAAAGTTCCTGTGCATGTTATCGGAGAGTCAAGTGCATTTGGAATTGAGTCACTGGTGACCGTCAGTGTGAATGATGCTTTAGCACTGAGCTGTGACTTGATTTCACTGTTTCGTACGTGGGAAGAGACTAGTTACCGACTTGAGCGACGGCAAGCTAATCCTGACTGTGTCAGGAAAGAGTTTGAATCCCTTGGTAATCGCAAAGCTCCAGCATACAGACTGACATTTGATCCACAGAAGTCATCAGCACCCACTAAATTATTGTCATCTCGTAAGTATCTCGTTGAAATTCTCATTGTTCTGTTAAAGATAATCCCATTTGCTTCCAAAAACATTAGAGACCAAGGTAAATACTGTAGAACAAGTTTTATTTTCCCATTTGTTTTGTGTAGTCGAAATAGAAATCTTATGTTTACTGTTTAGTAAAGCTAGCTGTTTATGATATCTTGTAAAAAGGAACTTCATGATAGATACAAGTTACTTCGTATTGTTAAGGTAGTGAAATATAAGGGACTGTGATTGGCTAGATATATTGCTTGGGTAGGAAGAGAGAAAAGTTGTTGAATGGTTTGGATCTACTAACACTTCTTAGTAATTTCCTTTGTGATAATTACAAATGAGAATCTGGTTGCATGGTCTCTGTGAAAAATAAGTTGTAAGAATATTTAAGGTTTTGCACTATTTCAAGTGAAACTTTTATTCCAGCTCCTCGAGTAGCTGTTATTAGAGAAGAAGGTTCCAATGGTGACAGAGAGATGGCAGCATCTCTTTTCAGTGTAGGTTTTGAAGTTTGGGATGTGACAATGCAGGATCTCCTAAACAAGCAAGTCACAGCTGACAATTTCCAAGGCATTATTTTTCCTGGAGGATTTAGCTATGCAGGTGAGTTTGAAGACACATTGTAACAATTGAGATGATGTCTGGTATGGAGTAGGCTTTCTTTTATGGACATTTGGGGAACATTAGTTCTGTCAAACTCCTGTTAACTTCTGAACCAGATACATTTGGCATTTTGATCCAGGCTGCATCAACTGAGGAAGGAAATAATGGTTTGTTACAGTATGATGCTGAACATGAATTATATATTACATTATTAAAAGACAAAATTGGTAATAATTTTTTTATTAATATATATAAAATTTTATTTTTTATTTGAAATAAATAATACAATGAAGAATTTTGTGGATGTACAGGAGCAAAAAATAAAGACTAATATATTTTAGCGAAACTATTTCTCAAACTGCTGCTGTTGCAGATGTGCTGGGATCTGCGAAAGGCTGGGCAGCTAGTTTGTTGTTCCATCCATCACTGAGAGATCAATTCTGGGCATTTTTTGAGAGAGCAAATACGTTCAGCCTCGGAGTATGCAATGGTTGCCAACTCATGAGTTTGCTAGGATGGATTGGGTTGAAATCACAAGGCATGTAGCTCTTATATTTCTTGCATGTTTACACCATTAAGTATTTAATGTTTTGCCTCTTTAGCAGCACTGAAAGAAAAATGTGAATTATCATAAATAACTTCTATTACTGTTTCTTGTATTGACTATTTTATTTGCATCTTGTGATAAGAGGTGGAATTATGTGTATAATTTATTTAAAAATGGTGTGGAGTCCTTGCTGAATTTGTTTGAAGAAGGGTCACTCACTACCTTATTTGCCAATAACTAGTACTTCATGCAAATAAAATTGTTTTTATGGTTTGATACACTGTCACTAGAAGCTTTCAGTGTCACAATAACGATAACTGATTCATTATGACATGGTTGATTCAGGAACCTATTTTATCCAGGAAAATCCATTTCATTTTGAGCTTAACACACATGAATTTTTGTCAACAATTCTTTATTCAACAAGTGGCACAGAATATTTGGTACTTGATGGTGTTAGTTTGATCAATAGTATTTAATATTAATTAAAATATACTTAATTGGGGTGATAGGAATTAGTTGTCCAGTTAATTTGTCTTAAAACACTACAATTTGCAGGGAAGAGTGCATCATCAGATGAACTGCGTGGACCTGATGTTGTGCTTGACCACAACTTGTCGGAGAGGTTTGAATGTCGATTCAGCACAGTCCGCATTGAGAGGAGTCCATCCATTATGCTCCAGGGTATGGAAGGGTGTATACTGGGAATTTGGATTGCACACGGAGAAGGTTAGTGTTTTATTATATTATTTTCACCGGACCTGACTTAGCAAAAACCAGTATGTGTTCCTTTTGAAAACCACCTGTTCCAGCATGATGTTGCTTTTCACTTCACAATAAAATATTTTGTACAGTATTTTTAAATATATCAGTGTTTTAACATTGCTGGATTTGTCTTGTCAGCATGAAATTTAAATAATTTTACATTGTGCAGTTGTACCATTAAGTGTCAAAATCTGAACAACGGAATATTATCATCATCACAATATTTTAATTTTCTCATAATTAGAAGCAGAATTTCTGTATTTAAATTAATATATGTTTATAAATTGAAGTTGTGTGTTATAATGCTATAAATATCAGGTCTTGAATTGTAGTCAGGTACATGCACATAAATTCTAAATGTTAAGTTGTTGCTGTTTAGACATTTGTAGTATTATAATAACATTTATCTGAGTATTCTTCAAGTACATTGAAGGTTTGAGTCTGGGTTTTACTGCTGTTGATGGTCTACATTTCATTGTACATTTTCTGGTTAGACCTTAGGGAGATTGGAATTGATGGAGCAAACTGGATGCAACTAGCTCAGGATAGAGTCTGGTGGCAGGCTTTTGTGAACATGGTGATGAACCTTTGGGTTCCGTAAGGAAAGTGGCTTATTCTTTGATGATAAGCTGAATATACAATCAGCTTTTCAAAGAATTTCCTGCACCATAGAGTGAGTGAGTGATGAGATGTAAAATATTAGTGTCTTAGGTTGCTATATAGTATGTTTGTTTAATATTTGTAGGTCGTTTCACATTCCGTAATGAAAATGTGCTTTCAAGCTTGGAACAGAGATGCTGTCTTGCCATGAAGTATGTGGATGACGACGGAAAGCCAACGCAGACATATCCACTGAATCCAAATGGCAGTCCTTGTAAGTCATTATAGTTGAAATGACAACCAGATTAGATTAAATGGGAACAAATCTTTTTGAGCAAAGGACCATGTATACTGATGTAAAATGTGTGATTGTATAAAATCATTGCAGAGCAAGGTCCTTTTATCAGGAGGTATGCACAGATTTATAGATATGAGGGCATCACAAAGTTCTTCTTTCTTTTGTAAAAAAATCTGCTGGCTTTTTACTTATGCTTAGTGAATCACTTAACACAAGTATATTTGGTTGCTGCAGGTGGTATTGCTGGAATATGTTCTGAAGATGGCCGTCATCTTGCCATGATGCCCCATCCAGAGCGTTGCACACAGTTATGGCAGTGGCCCTGGATGCCAGCCGACTGGCATGACAAGTACACTGTATCACCGTGGTTACGTATGTTTGAAAATGCCTTCAGTTGGTGTGTTAAGAACTCATCATAACATATAAGACAGTTATGTGATTTTTTTTGTGAATTATTGATATAATGTTTTATTAAGTCTTCAAATGTACTGATGAATAAATAGCCTATTTAACACTATAAACCAACAAATTTACCTCCATGCTCAAATATGATTTCATCATGCGGTTAAACTTTCTTTCTCTGTAAACAAAAACAAAAATGGAAACTAACAAATTTTTACTATAGTGTTTATTGCACATGGTATTGTTAATTTGCATGATGTTAAAATTAAGATTTTTCTACAGTGAATATATTAATTATGGTATGTTTCATATCTTTATTGTGCTACATTTATAATGTAATGTATCTTCACTATTGAAAATGTTGTATATGTTGGCCTACGTGATTCTGTATTTGTTGTTATTGTTATTTTTATATGCATCTGTTCAATAAATTTGGAAATAATATGTATTTCTGTTGCTTTCTAGAGATAAACCTGGTACCTAACACAATGTCAACAAACTCAAAGCTTATTTTATGCCACATACCAGTTTTTTGTGATGAGCTGTTTTTGAGATACTGGTAATTAATGGCATCATTTGAACTTCATGTGATGTAGGACTAATATTAGACAAATCCAAATCAAATTTATGGAGTGAAAATAGGCAATATGAGCTGATTTGAGTGTATCATTCTTGCTGACATGCAATATAGATCTAACTGTGTAACATGCACCGTTTAACTTATTTATCAGTATATCAGTGTGATTTGTCCAATTTAGGTAGTTATTTATTTGCAAACCCACGAATTTTATATTTACTGACTTGTTTATTCTTTCCATTATAACTAAAACTTGAAGCATATTACTTGTTACAGATTTTATTATATTTAATTATCTGCTTTATTGATTCTCTGGATTTATGGATATATTTTTAATGTAAAATATTATTGACACCATCTTAATTTTAAGTTAAAATTACAGATTCCAAAATCAATCTGTTCTCAGTCATTTGAAAAGAACTATTGGCCCACAAAAAGTAAGGTTAGATGCATTGTGTAGTCGAAAATTTTGAGAACAACAGAAATTTTAGAACATCGTGTCCGAATTAACTTAACGATGTTTACATTTTGTGTTTAATTATCCAATAGATTACATAAAACAAATTTGCTACTGCAAATAGATTAAATTGAACCGTCAGCCAATAGATGGCCCCAAAGTACACTAGAACTCTAATGCTTTTAAGATTCGTCCAACAGATGACAGAAAAATTATTCTGTAACGACATAAAATGGCGTTCTGAGAAGAGAGTGCTGTTAGGTTATCACCATGTATTCAGTGGTCATTTGTCAGTGTTCGTGTGGTGTGTTAGTAGCTGAGGAAGAGGCATGTTTCCTTGAGGCTTGAATGGTGTGCTGTTAGTGTATTATTTTACCATGGGGGTGGGTCTTCAGCCTCTGGAATTTTCAGACTGTTTAACAGATAGTCCATATTTTAGAGAAAAACTTCACACGCATGAGAAAGAACTAGAAAGAACCAGTCAACAAATAAAGGGCCTAGTGAAAGAAGTGAAGGATTTGCTCAGTGCTGCTAAAAGTAAGTTTTGACATTCGATAAATATCCTTATTGCCTCAAAATTGCCCATCTCTTGATCCCCGTTTTCTCTTGAATATGTTAATTCAGTATTACTTTGTAAATAATAAACCTTGCTATCGTTACTTACATATGTAACTTCAGGACAGTGTTATGTCACCACATTTATTGTCGAGGAAACCAAAAGTATTTGTCTGTTTGCATGTTTGGGCAAAGAATAATTTCACCTAACAGACATGGAGACTCATACATTATATTAATGGAAAGTCACACAAATAATTTGAACTGTTGAATCCAACCCAGCCTTAATGTGACTCATTCGACTTTGTGGGAAGTACCATAACTAAATTATGAGAAGAACATAAACTATTCTATGTATAAGTCATAATATTTATCAAGACCTTCTTGTCATCAGAGAATAGTATTTATTTACATTCCATAGATACTTCATACCCCAAGCCAAAGATGTAGAAGATGTCATAGCACAAATACAGTAATTGTTTCTAACACAAATATAAATTGCATAGTTATGACAGTAATTTACAGTTAGCTACAGTAATACCACAAAAATTACACACACACAAGAAAGTGTAACCATTATTGCTTACATGTGTGTACAATAGATGAAAATTTTTGGTTAAGGTGCATTCTTCTGTGGAGTAGGAGTGAGATAGTGCTGGTGTGAACATTTTTATATTGTGATACAGACTTTTTGTAGTGGGGGGAATGTTATTAAATAGCTTGACTCTCCTTTTATTTCTTGCCATTATTCTAGTGATTGCGTGTGACATGATTGGACATAAGCAAGGTAAACTAATTTTAAAGTTTCTGCATTCATGAGTGATGTGGCAATCCTTATAGCAAAGCATGCTGAGTTTTGGAATAGGGACAGTTTATTGTTTTTCCCCTTAATTTAAGTTACAATCAATTTTAGGCCAAGAAATTTATTTTTTTACACCTCTGCAGTTGTTTTATTCTCATACCCTATACCCTCATTAACACAATTTTTTGCTAGGAATACAAAATTTCATGAAATGTGTTTTGTCAGAATTTAATGTGATTTCATTTTTGGCTTGTAATCCATTTGTTCAAGTTAGCAAAGACATAAAACACATACTTTATTTTAATAGAAGTCAGGCCAGAAGAAGTATAAATAATAAAATTCTCCTATTTAGCACATTTAGCAGCTTTCTTCCTAAGGATAAACAAATTGTGTATTTGTATTGGAATTGGATTTACTCTTTAAAGATTTCAGATTTTAATTGAACAGTTTTTTAATTCTTCACCAACTCCTGAGATTGAAAGTTAGAAATATTAATCAATGGTATGTTGAACAGGAGAGTACATGTACTGTCAAGGTCTAAATTAAACATTCAGAGTTCAAAATGCAGGCTGATTTAAAAGTCTTTATGCATCTGGAAAAACACATATTTCTCATGGTGAACCTTCTTATGATTACAAATTACGAAAATGTTAAGGTCATAAAATCACATGTGCCGGTAAGGGCATGTGTGTGCACAGAGACTTTTGAATCACTTTGTATTAGTTACAAAAGATTTTTCATCTTAAGCAGTTAACCAGATGGAGAAAATAATCAGTTGTTGAAGAATTGATTATTTGTGACAGTGTATGATTGGTATTCTCCCTTTAATTTTCTAAAGCACTGTGCTAACTGTATATAAATACAACCTACTTCAGTGTTCAGCATCTCAGCATTCATCTGGCAAAGTGAATTTGTGGATTTTGCTTACTTGTCGGAACACTCAGCGATTTCTTTCTATACATAACAACTGGCTGTTCTTCCCGAGAGTTCTTTGTTCTTTGAGGGAAGAACCAGACTTTATGACATTATTTTTTTTAAGATAGGTTCTGCTTCAGAGGGTTAAGACTTGATTTAATCAGCAAAGCCTAATTACATAGTGAAAGTTTACTGGAAGCAAGTGTTTGAAGCCTCTAAACTGTCACATTGAACGGGACAAGAACTGTAGTATTATCTGTACCCTGAATGATGATGTAGCCATAGCAATGACTTGCTGATAACTGTTCAGTGACCATTTGATGTCATACAGGGCTCATGGCATGGCCAGGTGTTCATGGAATAGTACTCCCGAGATAAAAGTAATATACTTCAGCAGAAATACATGGTCTTAACATTTGTCTGCCAAGTTATTCAAGAGTACATATTCTGATTTTTGTGGTAGTTGGTACCAGTCATGGGAGCTTTGGTTCTTATGCCTATTTGTCGACGTTTCGGAGAATCCGCTACACATCTTTTACACTTTATTGTGCATGTCATGTTCTTCGGCTCAGTACTGTTGAAAAATGATCTCTGTAAATGTTCGTTTATAAGGTTTTCCCAGAACTTATTTCCCCTTTTCCAGGTTTCCTTTAGTTATATGTAGTAAGTATAGTCGGCACTGTTTTATTGCATGATCGATCAGAATGCCAGATGTGCTTTTAAACTTCACGGAGGAGGCCATTCTAGTTCTGACACTCGCATGTCTACAAACGAAGATTCAAACTGGACACTTGGACCCAGAAGTAACAATTGACTTTGGGAACAACGTCGACATTTACTAAAATGAGACGGATTGAGTTCTGTTTCCGGTGTATTCTTTTGGTATATCTCTCTGGATGTGTCGTACACAATGAAGTTATTTTTTAGTGTTGGGTAATAGATAGCTGAACCTCCTCAGCAAGAAAACTGTGGCGCTCATCTGTTTGTTACCACGCTGGCACTTCATGAAAACCGGAACGAGTTGCCCTGTTTGAAACTACCCTCTAGTTCCGTAAGGATATTGAATTTCTCGTTTCCCTTCCACCACACCGGTGGGGTATGTGACACTCACTGCACTGCAGAGATTAGTAGCTGCTCGAAGTCCTACGATCCCTGCAGAATGTGTTGTATGTCCAGAGGTTCATCTAAGGTGACTGAAGGGTTGTCTTTGATGGCATCTCGGTAATAGCCAAGACAGACATGTTTACACAGCTGGTTCCTTCATCACCCGGGGGTTTTGTTCGCTCAGGGTTAACAACTTTTTCCTCTCCCAGCCCTCCCCCTCGCCCTCCCCCCAACACCCTTCCTTATCTACTCCTGATCAATCTTTCAGTGGCAGGTTCAATTTCTGTTGCGATCTGCTTGCATTCCTCCAGCGAAGTTTATTTTATGATAGCAGTTGAGTACTTCAGATCATTTGCATCTTACAGAATGACTCAGCATTACAGAATATGTACGCAGGTCGCACCTCGTATATTGGCGAGCCGCATACAGCCTGCGGCCCGCGGGTTGAGAACTCATTCAGCACAGTGAGTGCTTTCGGTTTCTTGTCACGTATTGATGTTGCTGGTACTGCCTGTTCGCCCCATTTGGTATGGCGTGTGAGTTAGCGAGGGTGTTTGAAGAACTGCATTCTTACGGCTGAAGGTTTCCTACTTCCGGGTTGGAATTTTAGCTTATCATGCGTGCTCATAATGTTTGAGAGATTCAGGCGGAACTGTATTACAGGTGTGGGTTAGTGTGTAGAGCTGTGACGAAGAATCTGCGAAGTTCATGCTACTCTCTCATCATTGAACCTCGGCTCTGAGACTGGGCATGCAGAAAGAGGTTTTTTTTTTCAGTTTTGTCAGACAAATTTTCGGGAATGGCCATAATGAAAGCCACAGACTCTTCTTTACACATCTCTCCCATTTCATAACTCAAGAGTCTAATTACTTCCACATTCGACGCTTATAGACGTTTCAGTTGATAAAACGTTATTAATGTTGGTAATGTATCTTGCGTATTAGAAACTAATAGCTAATTGATTTTAATTAATGTAGCGTTGAGGCTTAGTTGTTTTTTTCATGATTATTGTACATTTTCTATGATGATATTTTTTTAATAGGTAGGCTAATATAAGCATGGAATGAATAACTTTTATAGAAGTAGGCTAAGTGCGTATTAAGCATGGAATGAATAACTTTTATAGAAGTCAGCATCTGTAAACATACAAAACAAGGCGCCAGGTACCTCACATATGTAAATATGCAGTGTAGTACTTCTTAATTAGCATCGTTTGCAAATTCAGAGCCAACATCTCTAAACTGTGACTCACTGGATGTGTTTGCTTTTTTAAATTTTCATTACTCAACAATATTCGTGTCAGACTTAATGTCGAGATGATGACAAATCCGACCATAATACAGTCACTGTGGTCTGCATCCAGACATAATTTGGGAGGAGGCTGGGTGGTCCTCGGTGTTATTAGTTTGTTTATTTATTTGAAAATTCTATTGCATAGCGTCAGAGAGGTTCTTCTTCTTCTTCCTCATCCGCCTGAGACTTTACCACTTTCTTGTGGTTGGTCTTGATAACAAATCCTTCCATCTCTGTCTTCCGACAGCTCCTTCCCAATTTCGTCTCGTATTTTTTTTCTGCTGTGCAACATTCTGACCTGTTTACGTCTGGATGCCAGTCTCCATCTTGGGCGTTTTCCTTTTATTTTCTTATCAGAACCTTTTTCTGGAATTTCCACTTGTTTATTTTTAACAGGAAATGTTCAGACGAAGAATTGCGAAGGATTCAGCAGTAAGGAAGTGACCCTTACTCACTCACACTCAGAACATCACGGCTTCCACATGACGTTCTGTAATTTTATCCATGTCAACACTTTCAGGGCTGTCAATTGCAGTAATGTTTGCATTAATTCGTGATTTAAAGTAGATAATTTGGAATCAGTTTTGCCAGATACCCTTTACGAGAGTTGAGAAGACTTATGTCAATTCCAGGGTACTTAGAACTGAAAACTGCTGACGAGCCGACACGTGTTGAGGCGGGGTGATAAATTGTTAGATAATAATAATTCAGGCCTACTCCAGACCCATCAGGATAATTTTCAGCAGAGTAAATCTCGCCCCCTCAACGTCTGGTTAATACGACACTTCACACACGTCACCCCCCACCCCCAACTGAACTTCTGAAGAGTGAATTCAAATTTATATCCAGTGATCATTCTGACAGAGGT